TAAGAGGAAGGACCCGCCAGCTAGAGATGAGGATGAGGAGGATGAGGCCAAGGAGGAAGAGACAAGAGGTAACAAGCGCCCGAAGAAAGGAGTTTGCCTTGTGTCCCCGGAGCAGAAGAAGCACTTGAAGTCGTCACTGGGAAATTTGTATTATATAGAGCTTGTGCATGTGTGTATGTGTGAATGTGCTTGTGAATTGCTTGGTTGTCTTGAGGATTGCAAAAGCTTGTATTGCTATGCAGGCTTATCCGCCATGGACCCAACTACCGTGTCGAAGTGTATTGGACATGCCAGCAGCCTAAAGTCGGAGTACGATGCAAAGAGACAGGGAAGTCCATGTTCTGCCACACGTACAAATCGTTTACGGTGCTGATCGAGCTATGCAACGAGCTAGCCACTTGTTTGAACATGCACATGTATTCTGTATTCCTATGTCCGTTAAGCGCATGCATTGTCCGTAAAGCTCTAAGCTTAGTGCTTGTTTCGTTTGAAACAGGTCCCATTCTTCGAGAAGGGTGGTGGTGATCAAAAGTGGGAGCAAGTCAACTACAAAGCCAATTCGATTATGATGAACCTGCGGTTGAAGTATCGAGCCGAGCTGAAAGCTGGTTTGCCGTAGATGTTTGAGAAGCCAAGAGCCTCTTTTGTGTGCTGGTGATTGCTTAGCAACAGATCTATAGGAGGCGGGGTCAGGATCCGTCTTGCACTCTCTGGAGTGTGTGGTGTGTGAGCTGTCTATATCTTGCGAATAATCTAGGTCTATAGAGTGGTTATTCTAATATTCGTTCCTATACTAGCATATAGGTCGAGTTATCTGTTAATTATCGGATCCTTGGGGGTGCCTCCTCGATCTCAATGCAATTCCACCCAGCCATGCGAGCAATCGCAACCGGAATCGCACATATGGCGTTGGTCCGGGGCCTTTCGCTCCTCCAGTTTGATGTGCTTGCTTAAGTTTCAATTTGAAATCTGAGCTGCCATCTAGAATCTAGATCTAGGCCCCTTGAGCCGTATACTGGGAAGGCGTCACCACCCTGCTCGCTTGCAGAGAAAAAATCTGTCTTGTGCATGCACAACAGATTGCATTAAACATGAGCAACTTCAAGCATTGAGTTCCTGCGCAGCAACATGCATCAAGCTTGTCTTGTGAACTATGCTTCTTGTTTGCAATGCAATCTTAAGATAAATTCAACCCGTAGCTGAGGTGTCTGTTTTCATGCCATGCCCCGTGGTCACAAGCGACTGCAGCCAAAGCTCGGTGTGGCTGGCATACTTGATCTTCTGCTTGCACTGGAACTTGCAGTTGCCTTGGACACAAAACCAGGCATGTGCATGCATGTGCATTTCTCGGACTTCAAGATTGCAGCAACTCATGTTTCTGGGGAGTCACAGTCGGTTGTAAGAGTGACACATATGAAGATATATACTTTCGCACATATGTGGGTGCCTTTATAAGTCTTGTCTATATGTGTGTAGCACTTTTCTGTTAGCTGCATACGTGAAGCATTGTCTGAAGCCATGCTGTATCGGCGGAACGCCTGGAACCTCAGGGTGCTGGTTCGTAACCTGTATCGAGCAGGCGTCCCGCGAGCTGTTTGACTACAACAGGA